CCGTTGGGTTGATACGGCGAAGGTGCCTTCGATTTTACGTTTGAGATAAATTGATCACTTTAAAGTACTTGTCCATTAACGGAAATTAAAAAAGTGATCACTAAATGCCGTGAAGGGAAGGGATCTCTTTATTGCATCTAGAATTTACAGAAGACAGGAAATGGATTTGTTATAATTGGATTGGGAATAAAAGTCAAATCCTGGTACGTATACTTAAAAAAGGATTTGAATATTTAAAAAAGGTTAGCCTTCTATCTTTAGTCCCTCATTATATTTGGTGCATATTTATACACTTCACTTTTTTTACTATTTTGAACATTTTCTGGCAATCTAATTATAATAAGTCCAAGATAAATAAATGTTCAAATGAAGCATTGTAAAAAGAATTGAAGACAGATCTTCTGTGAAATCTATTAATTTGCATTACTGATGATATAATTAACCAAACAGAATATGAAATAATATTCATAAAAATATTATAAAGAATATTTCAGTTGAATGAATACTAATTATAATGCAATTTGCGATTCAACCACGGATGAAGGAAAAGCAGCGTTGGGACAATCAGAAGACTATCTACGAGATTCGAGAGGAGGAAGCTTGAGTCCGGAAGATACAAGCGTCGTCCTCGTCGATATAAATTATTCCATGAATATCTCATTTGACCCTTTTAAATGTAAACAGAATCCCCGAGGAACATGTGATGTAGTACACCACGGCACGAACCGGCACTGATTGAGACTTTGGCCGTTTCTTTACTCACCCCCCTGGTCGCAGCCATTTTGCCCCTTCCGTTTCCCGTGGGATCGCGTTATTCTCACAGACAAAGCGGAACGTTGATTAAAAAAAGAGGTTACTAGCTGCATTGCAGGATGAATACTGATCCGTCCGTTCTTTTTAATCGCGGTCTGTAACCGCCTGTAACGCAGTCTCCCAGCCGACCATTATACCCGCGGCCGTTTTGTTTTAGTATTTATTTTTTATCCCCGGTTGCCCCTGTTTTTATTCGAACAATTGTGGGCTACGCTGGCCGATTAAATTTCCTTATTTTTGCACTGGAAACTCTATTTGGCTCTTCCTGTAATTTTCTGACGTCGTGCAATTAGATTATGGGATTACCGTCACGAATTAGTAACAAACAACATCGCGGCGAAATATTTTGCTTAAACAATAAAAAGAACTGTGCAGAGCTTGGAATTTTAAGATTCCCTGCAAATCGAGTGAATTAGTATTTTTTGTTTGCATACAAAGAAATGAACGTTGTGAACGTATCAAAAACAATAATTACACAAACTGGTACAGATTTTTTGTTAAAATCACTGCGTGTATTTTATCACAATGAGATAATCGAGAAATAGAATTTGATGAAAGTGTAGATAGATAACAACTACATATATAATTTCTTGTAAGTAATCAGTTCGAATCTATTAATTAAGGTATCTAAATTTATATCTTTGGACGATAATCCATATTATATCATCAAAATTAATGGGAGCTTATGAATGTCTCACCAGCATGTATGTAGGCACGTCTAAACACGCCCCGATCTGATTCACTATTGCCGGGACAGAATCGATCATCATAATCATCGCTCAACAACCGACGATTTAAACCCAGATACCGAGACCCGTTTACCGCTGCCAATAACACGGAATTCCCAAATGGTCATTCATTCAACCTCTCCTAATCGCGATCAACGCAAATTGCCGGCTATCAAATGGGTAGGACGACGTGACGCGACGGGGAGAAGAGGGACATTGCATTGCGCGCAGCTATTGACACGCAGAAGAATAAAAAAGGAGATAAAGAGGACAACCGCGACGCGGCGACCCCAAGAGGTCGTTTAACGGTCCGGGTAAGTTCCGTGAGGCAAGAAGAAAGGGCGGGAGAGAAAAATGCTAGCGTTTACCTTTTGTTCTCGTAGCTGCGCCTCGAGAACGTCGGCGGTGTGCCCGACGGCCCGCATTTTCTCCAGCCGGGTTTCCATTCGCACCAGCCATACCTCCACCTCGTTTCTCTTCGCCTCGTAACGCTGGCTGTCCCCAAGCATCGCGTCCAGCTCTGTTTTCCTCTGCATCATTTTCGAGTTCATCTCGTCCCAGTGCTCTCTCAGCTTCGTAACTGAAACACGACAATCGGCGAAACGGCCCGTTTCAAACAATCTGTACATCCCTCAACGTCGTCTTGTGTATTGTTGAAACATTAAACAAGTAGTACGAAATCATCATCGCCTGATTTAAAAATAATAAATGTTACACATTTCAATTTTAAATGATTTGATTAAGAAACAATTTTCGTCACATAAATTATAATAAAATTCATTATGATTTACGAAATAGAATGATTCAATCACATGAGACATAAAATGGAATACAATGAATTGAAATAATCAAGTCCTTCATTACCCTGCGAAAGTTTCATTTTGTCGTTTCAGTTTGTACAGTTTCTTTTTGACGCTTTTACATATTAGTTGAATACATTCTTCGTACATACATCTACCAAAGTGTCACGATGAAATATGATTGCAATCACAAAGGAAGGAATAATTGGTGATAAAACGAGATTGAGCTGAAACACACGAGCATCCCTGATGCAGACGACTGATAAAAACAGTGGACATATTTCACGATAAGTAATGATTTATGTGCACAGACTTAGAGAAATACAGTGAAGCATTCGCCATGTGGATAAGATAAGATCAATACGCCTCAATACAGTTGTTAAAACGTCGTGCGCTATGCAATCGTTAGCGACTCGGTAACAAATGGAATAAATGGAATCTCCGCGCCCCGGAAATTTATTTCTCGTACTTGAATAACAGACGAAACATCAAGTACAGTTCGGTTATCATAATCGATAACTAGCGCCCATCGGAAAACCAATCTCATCGATATTTCCAACAAAAGAGCTACGAGAACAAGTAACATTAAAAGAGAACAAGAACATATTATTTAAAGATCGTCCCAATTAGTCGATGAATTGGAACCTGAGAATCGAATTTTATTCGCATTGTTATCGAACAGAAGTACGATTCCAAACGAACCTAGGAATCATGGAATCGCATAATCGATTCGATGCGCGGTGTTAAACGTTCTGACGCGCGGCGCGCACTCAGGGTTTAAGGGCTGCCTAGGCCGTGCGAAGGCTCGTTAATCGAACACACGGGTAACCCGGACGCCTGGCACATGTTCGTTGTTTCAAGAAGCACTTCATCCGAAGCGGAAATCCGCGTTGAGATTCGCGCCAGGCGCGAGGAATCAGTTGGAAGGTGTCCAAACCGGAGCAGCTTAGCCGGGGGAGGAAGGACGCGGCGCAGCTGGAAAACCTGCGGGGCGAGAGGGAACGGGTGCAAAGCATTGGCAGCGTTTCAACATCCGTAACAACAAAATTTCCACGCGTGGACAACTCTGTAGCCTGGGGTTACGTTTCTATATATGTACCTTTGATGATGCATCGCATGTGCACGATGTTTCGCGATAGGGTGCCGGCGAACAGGACCGAAGCTAGAACGAAAACAACGTGATTGAGACCGTCACCCTCGCAGTGCGCTCTGAATAGGACGATTACGCTCGTGATTGAATATAAGGGGCGACTGATTGATCTTGGCGTGAAATTATCACTTTCTTTTCCATCGTAGTTTAATGGCATTATAGCTTGAAATACGAGGCAGAATTCTCACATCATATTCTGATTTGGATAGTCTTGATGTTCGTAGTTATTCTACAAAGAAACAAAATTGATATCTGAATTGATGATATTTTTATATTCACATATATATGTAACTGATGATAAGTTAAAAATTATAACTTTATATAGTAGAAATCAAAATACAATCACAATTTTCATATCAAAGTAACTTAAATGAACTAGAAGATAAATTGACGATCCTTATCCAATCAGTAATATAATGAATTTAATATAATTAGAAGCGCAGTTGAACTAAGTAATAACACTCCAAAGCAACAAATCCATTTGCCTAACACACTAGTGCAAATACTCGAGGCGGATCACAATTTAACGATCCCCATTTGCGAGCATTGCACTGTGCGAGTATTCCCAGTCAGAACCTCCATTGTCAGTTAAATTAACATAGTAAATGTATAAGATTCAAGGACTGAAATACATTTTCATATGAATTATTTTCACACATTAAAGGATCTATTACTGAACCGACTTGAATACTGCTGATGATATCAGAGTAATTAATGTCATCTATCATTTGTTGAGAATAGAATACAAGAAGGATTGATCAAAAATTCGTACAAAATCGAAAACTTATCAAGAATTTAATATGCCATATTAATACATCATGAATATGTGATCAGTTACGATGATCCTATCGCGTGGTTGCATTATTAGGGCAAATTTTCTTACGGACAGTCGGGTCAAAGAATTACGATCGTAGTGCATTTCCACGTAATCAGAAGCATACGCTATTCTACCGGCGATTGATATAATCCGACAAGCCACGCATAGCGAAGTTGGAGGGAAGAGTCATAACTATACGTGAGCTAGTGAACTGGAAGCAGAGTATCTTGATCTATCGCCCTCAGGACTGTAAAGGGGTACAACCCGGTAGAAGGCGAGGCTGGGTCTTGTCTCCCTGCGGTTGCACTCAATGACCTATTACAAGAGCGTTTCGCTCTCATCGACCCCTACGACTCGCAACCCCGGTCGCGACGCACCTACTTACTCTCCGTGTCGCAGCATAGGCGTGACAAGTGTTCCACGGGACATTAAAGATGGCACGTACACTCTTCAACTGCCGTATAACGAGCATTATAAGAAAAATTAATTTTTCAATTGATGTTATTCATTCACAGTCTCCCCAGAAGCTACGTTTAAATATAGTTTATCGACTATGTTATCATGACACTTTTACGCAGGGTGACAAATCGATTCTATGTACGCAAGCAACAGAAATGATTTCTTTATGAATATATAAATGAGATGGAACTGATAATAGGATTTATGAAGATCTAAATCATTTCACAGAACTGAAAATGTGTGACCCAATGGATAGAATTTCTGCAAATTCTAGATTTAGAACACGCATGTTTGAATTACGTGGCGGGAGCACGTAATAAAGACATTCGGATAACTAACGTAGAAGCTCGACGTACGCAATTATTATCTACGTATTATCAATCGCGCAACAGCGGCGCACCGGCACTGTGGCGTGTCAATCGAAAACTCAATCACCCTCGATATTCTCCGAAACCATGCGTGACTATAACGTATGATCATAATAGTCCCTGTAGAATAGGGTCGCAGTTAGCGAATCGATCTACAGGTTTAAGCGTGAGCTATAATGATTATAACGCGTAAATTATAATAAATATTATTTGACAATTTTATATAAAATATAATATAAAATTATTTGTATACATATCATGAGTCTCTTATAGTGCTGTCAGTTGTGTTAGTGTTAATGCTTTAAGCGAATGAGTTATAATGAAATAGAAACTATGAGAGAAATTTGAAAAATAATTTTTAATTATTACACGGGTTTAATAAACTATCAAATGCATAACAAGATTATTTGACCTGGAAAAGAAACGTACAAAAAAGATGCGAACTAATTTTATTAAATACTTCTATAGGAACTACGCGTGTATGTTAATTAAAGCATATTCTATATTCACGAACCTAATTCCCAGTGTACAGAAACGGAGAAGTTGTAATATTATGGAGATGTGTGCATTATCTCTAAGGATATCTAGTCTCGCAGGATATACGGAAACCATGTCGTGTCAGTGACCCGGGAGATAAGAGTGGATGCGACGAGTGAAGATAGTGCAGCAGGGGCTCACCCTCGCGTACGCCTTTTATTGCGCTAGATGCCTAATGCACCTCTATTAAATTCAGATGAATCGCTTAATATATTCAAATTGGCGGGCTCGCGCCCTAGTGAAGTGAGCAGGAGGCATTCCGATTGAAATCGATGGAACGCGAGAGCCGGGACGCGACAGCAAAGTTGGAATAGGAAAAGATAGAGAAAGAGAAAGGGAAGAGAAGAGGAAACACAAAAACGCGAGGAACGTGAAAGGAAGATGGAACATCGGTTACTTCGGCGAAATGAAAATTGAAGTGGGGTAAAATCCCGGCTGAACGCGTTATCTCTCGCTTGGAGAATCCAGGAACTTCTTTCGCGATGCTCGTTGCTACATTTATCAGATTCTAGGTATATCCGCTTGGAATTTACAGTGAAAAGCAAAATTGTAGCAACAAGAAAGTTTCCTTCTCGAACATGGTTCTTTACTTACATGTTGTAACGAAAATAAAGAATAGACGTTACGTTTGCCAATCAATCCTCTTTTACTGTGAGAAACGATCATCAACAATTCTTTTACTTCGATAAATAATCAGAAATATCATTGTGGTACATTCGTGTGGCTAGCCAACTGGTTTTATTTTAAAATCAATCTATTGGAGCAAATTAGGACGAAGTCCAAATTATTAATTTTGATGAAATTAATCTCTTATACTTCGAGTATTATAATAAATTAGATCTCATATGTAGGTAAATTGAATGCCTCGAGACTTGTCATAATCAGTACTTATACAAATATCTATAATCAATCAATAAAAATTCAATTTGATACATTTATCCCTCTTATTTCGAATCTCGATAATCCTGCAACACTTCAAATGTATTGATATCAGTTTCAGTAATTATAAATTGATTTAAACATTAGTAAGCCAACGAATCGTAAACCAACTATATATCGAATATCGAGATTACGGATATAAAGGTCAGATCGTAAAACACACGAATACGATCAATCGTAAACCGTGTTCCTCTCTGTAGTGTTCAAGGCAATGTTCTCAAGTCGGTAGGAACTTCGTTAACCAATCCCTAGGGTTTCCTACGGACCCTTGGCAACTGGATTATGTTCGAGCATTGCCAGACGAAGTTAGGCGAAAGTTACAGTTTGGCCTGTTCTCTCGGTCTTTGGATTTAAAGCTAACGGGCTATCCGGATGTCCGAAGTAAATAGAGAGAGTCATCTCGCGAATCACAGAGAAAAAGAAGACATGAACGACGCGGAACGTGGTCTAGCTTTATTACAGTAACACTATTTACGTTGTTAATGAACTCTGTAATTTTCGAAGGACAAT